AACACATGTGCTGCGGGAGACAGTGAATGCCCTTGGTATGCCCAGTGTGCTATGAAATAGTTACATTTAAATTTAAAAATAAATAAATTAATTAAAATGATTAGGAAATGCAGCAACATGCAACTAATAATGTATTTTCTGTTGTACTCACATCAGGGACTCCATCTGTGGCAGGACTAGAATCATTCACAACTGTTGGCGTTTAGATTTTCAATTATCAAAATGGTGAGATTCGCTGACACGTCTGTGAATGCTCTCCGTATATACTTTGAACATTCAGGATCATTCTCTCTTTTTCTCTGTCTCTCTCTCTCTCTCTCTCTCTCTCTCTCTCTCTCTCTCTCTCTCTCTTTTTTTTCTCTTTCTGTCTGTGTTTCTTTCGCTCTTTTTTCTCTCTCTTTTCCTCTCTGTCTTACTTCCTCTCTTCTTCTCTCTCTTTCTCTTTCTGTCTCCTTCTCTATCTCCTCCTCTCTCTATTTATCTCTCTATTTATCTCTCTTTTCTCTTTCTTTCTCTCTCTCTCTTTCTCTCTCTCTCTTTCTTTCTAACGTTCTCTCTCCCTTCGCTCTCTTTCTCTCTCTTTCTTTCTCTCTCTCTCTTTGTCTTTCACATATACGCACACACACTATAATCTCTATCTGCTCTGTAGTCATCCTAACTTTCTCAATATCTGCCCAGAGCCGACTTAAGAGCATAATGGCCAAACCAGTCTGCTGCGACCACCCAAACACTGGAATGATTTTTTTTTTTTTTTTTAGCTGTACGGGCCCGGTTAGGAAGAGAAGGCTGGCTCTATAACCTTTGCTAAAACGCCTCCACCTGAGAAATAGAGGAAACAGTGATTAACGCCTCCCCAGTGAGAGGCGTAACACTTCCGATTTATCTAGGCGGCTCCGGTCACGTGATTTGGGGTCAAGGGTCGGATAAGGCTCGGGATGGGAGTTGTGCTATGTGTGCGTGAGTGGTGGAACCCCTCCCCCCCCCCTCTCTCTCTCTCTCTCTCTCTCTCTCTCTCTCTCTCTCTCTCTTTCTCTTTCATACCTTTTTATCATATTCACCACCACTTTTGTCGTCATCAAATCCATCTATTTAAAACAAACTTTCACTGGTGCCAGTAGTTACTTTATCTTGCTCTTGATGTGCGTTATCTAGAATTATGTTCCAGTCAGTCATTCTTCGCATCTCTCGAGTCTCTCTGTCCAGCTGTGGTTCTCCTTAATCCATCTCTCTCTCTATCTCTCTCTCTCTCTCTTTCTCTCTCTCTCTCTCTCTCTCTCTCTCTCTCTCTCTTTCTCTCTCTCTCTCTCTCTCTCTCTCTCTCTCTCTCTCTCTCTCTCTCTCTCTCTGCCATATATCCATCAATGTTTGCAGGTAGATAAAATACAAGTGCTGGAAGAAAGGTTAACGTTTAGAAAAGCTGAATGAAAGACAGGCCTGCGTACCCAATTGTTAAACCTTTAAAACTAATTTTCGTTCGCTAATAAAAATAGAGTTCGTTCGTTCTCTTTCTATCTAGCTCTCTCTCTCTCTCTCTCTCTCTCTCTCTCTCTCTCTCTCTCTTTCTCTCCCTCTCTCGGTAAATGTATGTGTGTGTGTGTTTGTGTGTGTGTGTGTCCGTTTCTACCTTCCTGTCGCGTGTGCCATCCCACTATCTCCCTTCTTTTGCGGTAAGCGTAACAACTATTATTCTATGACGCCTTGATCACGACTACCCTATGTATAATCTTCTCGTTTTATTCGGTAAATTTATCAATTTATGTGTTCTTTTCTTCAGACTACAACCAATGGACACAATGTGGAAAAAGAACAAGAACAAGGTTGGAAACACAAACTTCCTCGCATGTAGTTTTCCAGAAGTAGTTGTATCGTTGTTTGTGTTATTGTTTGTTAAAAAAGGCTTTCCAGTCGCAATGTTTTTTTTTTTTTTTTACTATTCTTGATTGTGTTTTCTCGAACTGCTACCTAGTTCTACGTCTCGTTCGTGCTTATGTTTACATTTGATGCCACAGGTGTTGTCTTTTTTATATTGGATCTGCGTCTAAAGTGCAAAACTTAAGACATGATTATCTTTTTCTTGTATTAAAAAGTGCTACTATTATCACTACTGCTACTGCTGCAGCTGATGCTACTACAACGACAACAACACATACAACAACTACTACTACTACTACTACTACTACTACTACTACTACTACTACTACTACTACTACTACTACTACTACTTCTACTACTACTACTACTGCTACTACTACTACTACTACTACTACTACTACTACTACTACTTCTACTACTGCTACTACTACTACTACTACTACTACTACTACTACTACTACTACTACTACTACTACTACTACTACTTCTACTACTACTTCTACTACTACTACTACTACTACTACTACTACTTCTACTACTACTACTACTTCTACTACTTCTACTACTACTACTACTACTACTACTACTACTTCTACTACTAATACTACTACTACTACTACTACTTCTAAACTACTACTACTACTACTACTACTAACTTTTCTACTACTACTACTACTACTACTACTTCTACTACTACTACTACTTCTTCTACTACTACTACTTCTACTACTACTACTACTACTACTACTTCTACTACTACTACTACTACTACTACTACTACTACTACTACTACTACTACTACTACTACTACTACTACTACTACTACTACTACTACTACTACTACTACTGCTACTACTACTACTACTACTACTACTACTACTACTACTACTTCTACTACTACTACTACTACTACTACAACTACTACTACTACTACTACTACTACTACTACTGCTGCTGCTGTTGCTGCTGCTGCTTTTTCTTCTTCTTCTTCTTCTTGTCTGGATTGGTCACCACAGCCTGAAAAGAACTGTGCAGAGAGGAGTGTCAAGAGGATCTGGCTAACACTTAACACTCATGTAGAAGGCAAGAAGGCCAAATAATAAAACTGATTATAAATAAACTGGGTCTCTGTGCTGGCTGCTGAGGATAAGGAGGGTGTGGGTTTATTTATTTAATGTCCTGAGTGCTACGATGTCGATTCTCAACTCAACCCAAATTTACTTTACTTCAGATCTGCAAATTGCTGGATTTTGTTTTCAAATATGACTTTGTCTTTCAGGTCGATCAGTCTTAAATGGATGCCAGGAAAAGTCCTGGGAAGTAAAGATAGTCGGCGTGATGTCACCGCATCCCAAATCGAGCGCCCATTGGTCTATTTAAAAAGAAAATACGAGTCTACTCTCAGGTGCCTAATACGCTAATTGCGTGAAAAGGAACATTAACCTACTTGTCTAACGGTGTCGGTCCTCTTCTACCTCGGGGTGAGTGAGATTGCCAACACAGTTTCATTTAAACTCCCAGGGGATTGAACTGCTCCCTCAGGTTCAACTCCAACACCCCAGTTATGGCCCCTGGTACTCCACATGGGTTATTTATTCCCCCAGCCGACACATCCTTTTTTTTTTTTTTTTTTTTATAACTGTCCTACACCAGTTTCGTCCTTCTTAGGACGAAATTTTTTTATTTGAAGCTCCACCCTGGCTTTTGCCAGGGGCCGCAATATAGGCAGGCCATAAAAATGGCCAATTGTCTGAACGCGGTTTCTGGGACCTCTCCACGGCGATCCTCATCCACATAGTGGCACTTTGTGTCATCGGTTGTTTATCGCTTGTGTGATGTCCTGGTGGGGTAGACATCCTTTTTTTACTATTGATTTCTTCAGAAACAATATCCTTACGTCCTTTTTAGGACGTAATTTTTTGTTATTTGAAGCCCCACTCTGGCTTTTGCCAGGGGCCGCAATATAGGCAGGCCATACATATGGCCAAATGTCTGAACGCGGTTTCTGGGACCTCTCCACGGCGATCCTCATCCGCATGGTGGCACTTTGTGTCATCGGGTGTTTATCGCTTGTGTGATGTCCTGGTGGGGTAGAAAGTCAGTCACATCCTTTTTTAGTATGAATTTTTTTGTTATTTGAAGCCCCACCCTGGCTTTTGCCAGGGGCCGCAATATAGGTAGGCCATAAATATGGCCAATTGTCTCAACGCGGTTTCTGTGACCTCTCCACTGCGATCCTCATCCACATGGTGGCACTTTGTGTCATCGGGTGTTTATCGCTTGTGTGATGTCCTGGTGGGGTAGAAAGTCAGTCAGTCAGACGTGTAGTCATTCTGCTGAGTAACAACCGACCCGGCTGCATCGAGATACTAGCTAAGTAATTTTGTGTATCTGTGTAGTATTGTTTAATTTGTATGTGCTGATGAAGGCTCAATAGCCGCAACGCTCACGTTTTGTTTGTGTTTGTTATATTGTGAAGCTTGCTAATATACTTTTTGTTCGGTTTTATATCTTACCTTGGGGTGAGAGAGATCGCTGGACTTCTCTTTCAGCAGTATTCTTGTTGGTTTTATTTAATTCTAGTCATTTGTCAAATAGGAATTGTCGGATTTTGTCTATCCAGCGGACCCTGGGTCGTCTTGGAGGTCTGGTTCCTTGGGTGTTGATCTATCTTGTCTGCCATGGTAAGACATGGTCGATTCTCTCCCCTTCTGCACGCATGTCAAAACCCTTACTGATACTTTACTGTCCGAACTGTTACTCAGCTCACATATTTAAGTGTTCCATAAATATACTCTGTGTGACATTTACTTAGTCGTCCCCATTTGGGTTGCAATTTTTTTTTGTGTGTGTGTTAAGTCCCACCCTGGCTTTTGCCGGGGGCCCTGAATATAGCCGGGCCATAAATCTGGTCTAGGCCATAAATATTGCCTAACGGTTGAACGGGGTTTCTGGGACCTCCCAACTGGTGATCACTCATCCGCATGGTGGCACTTTATGTCACCGGGTGTTTATCGCTTGTGTGATGTCCTGGTTGGGTACAACTACCTACCTACCTATACCCCGGGTCTTTTCTTTGCCTTTTTCTTGCAATGTTCATCTGATTGTTTGTGTATTTCAGTGTGGAGAGAGATCTTCGATCTGTTTGACAAGGACCACAATGGGCACATAACCACAGATGAGCTAGGCGATGTGCTGCGAGGATTGAACATTGATCCCACACAACAGGAACTCAAAGAAGCCATGAAGGAGCTGGATAAAGATGGTAACAATAGGCTATCTGCAGCAGTAGTAGTCGTACATTAAAAAAAGTATCTTGTTCAACCCTCAGGGTTATAACCTAGGATATGTAGTGTTAATTGATTTCTCAGAGTATATTCAGTAATTTTATATGTTTTATATTGCGTAATTATTTGAACTGATCGAAACTGCTTTGATGTGAGATATGATTAAGATATAAATTGTCAATGTAGTCCTCTCCTCGTGGGATGCAATTTTGTTATTTTGAAGCCCCACTTTGGCTTTTGCCTGGGGTCCTGAATATAGCCGGGCCATACATCTGGCTCAACGGCTGAACGGATTTCTGGGACCTCTCCGCGGGCGATCCTCATCTGCATGGTGGTACTTTGTGTCACCGGGTGTTTATCGCTTGTGTGATGTCCTTGTGGGTACGACAACCTACCTAAGATAGAAACTGTATTATCAACAATTATGCAATCTTACTGACACTGTGTCATTGCTAGGTTTTCTGTCCCAGTGTGAGTTCTGAGGCTCCACTTTGGAGAACATAGAATAGACCTACTGTTTCCTAGCAAGCATGTCGTAGGAGGCGATTAATTAGAGATGTTTCCTTTAAAGTCTGAGTACATCTGCCTGAGAAGCAAGCAACCACCAGTCTGCATACGAATAAGTCAGATCTGTAAAATGGATGTATTCGCCAAACTTAAATTCTGGATCAAAATCAAAGTCCAGGAGTGGATGAACAACCAAAACTTTCCGCCAGAGTTTACAGCCGTAAACGCTAAGAATAAGAAGAAGAGGCTCTAAATGTGAGTGACATTCTGGGTAACGAGATTTACCTGCTGAAAAAAAAAAAATTAGAAAATTTAAGGCACTTTTTCCGTCGGTGGTGCATGGAGAATATGATCTTCTTTTTCCTCTCTTCCACCTCGTACCTCGTCGAAGTGTCGGGGGGAGATGTAACATTCGTTGATGAGCTCTGTCAAGAGCACTATTAACACTGATGTTCATTTCTGTAAGGCTGTTCTTAATGCCATCACTCTATCTTTTCCGAGGTCTTTAATTCGCTCTATACCAGTTGTAACGTTTAAGTGTGGCTTGCTGTGGCAGATAGTACCAGGGCATTCTTGTTAGGTGTCCAAACCACTTCATTTGTTGTTCTTTGATAACCTGTAACTGTAAGACTGGCTTTATTCCTAGCATTCGTCTGATTTCATGATTTCTTATTCTGTCTTTTCCTTGAAACTCATGCAGCTCTTCTAAGGCATTTCATCTCTGCTGTCACAATTTTACGTTCATTGGAGGATGTAAGTATCCATGTTTTGCACTGATAGCATAGTGTTGGCAAAAAAATTGTTCTGATAAGATTGGATGTAGTACTCAAGGGTATCTGCTTGTGTGTCAACAGGGAAGATAGTTGCCCCATTACATGATTAGCGTTGGCACATCTTGAGCTAATTTCACTGTCCAGTTTTCTGTCTGATGTGAAATTTGCTCCTAAATACTAAATCCTTCTGTTTGTCTCAGGGTGTTGTTTTATTAATTTTATTTCTAAACTGTCTTTATGCCTTCCTGTCATCATTGTCTCTGTCTTCGTAGTGTTTGTTTTCATATTATATTCCTCCCCTTTGTTACTAATTTGATTTAGGTGGTTCTGTGGGCATTCCGTATTTTCTGATTTGAGTACCTGGTCGTCGGCGAAGAGTAATTCTGTCATATCTTCTTCATGATTAAAGTTCGTTACGCTACATATGGTATCCATGTATGTTATAAAAAGAAGCGGCGATAGTACACAGCCCTGACGCACACCAGAGTTAACTATAAATGTTCTTGACAACCCTGCCTTCGATCTTATGCAGCATTTACCACGTGTGTACAAACTTTTGCAAATAATAATGAGATGATTGCTGATTCCTTTTTTTTCCCATACATTCCCACAACTTATTCCTGTCGACTCTATCAAAGGCTTTTTCTTGGTCTATGAATGTCAACAAACATGTCTTATCATGTTCTATTGCCCTCTCTGATAGTTGTCTCAATGTATAAATGGCATCTGTGCAACTTCTGTTTCGTCGAAAGCGCATCTGTGCTTCTGAAAGTTGATTATCAATGGTCTTAGCCTTTTTTTTCCCGATGATCTTAGCATACATTTTCCCAGTGTGACTGAGAAGTTATATTCCTGTGTAATTAGTACATGTATATGATGCTAATATGAATATGATGCTAAACTAAAATGTGTGTAGACCAATCGGCATTTGGTGGGTGATGTATATATCACACCGGTCGCCTTTACTTCCCAGGACTTAACCTTGTATACATTTTAGACTGGCTCAACCTAGTAACAAAGGTCATGATGCCGGTGGCCTTTACTTCCAAGGAATTTACCTGGTACCCTGTTAATTCTGGGTCGACCTGGGCGCCATAGTAATTTTTTTGAATAGTTTATCTCCGTCAGGAGCTGAACCCATGACCTGGATTCCGCAGGCGAGCCTCTAACCGCTAAACCAGAGCGGCTCGCAGTGCTTTCTTAATGGCCGACCACAAATGACGTCACGGGACAGTCCAATATTTTACAGGGTGGCAAGAGCTGGTTTTCTGTGTTTTCTGTGCTTTAGCGCGTTTCTTCCAAGGCCAAGGTTTTTGCGCTTTAACCTTACCCTAATCCTAACCCAGACCCTTATCCTAACCCTAAATCCAACCTAACCAAAACTTTAAGCTTAATCTCCCTGAAATATTTAACTGTCCCGTGACCTATGATTTCTCCTGTTTGTGGTCAGCTAATTAGAACCTACCCGGTTCAATAATAATTCATTTGTTAGAAAGAATTTATCTACTGGCTATTACAATGCCTGCATAATAAATTTACCTTCTTTTAATCATCATCATCATCACGAATTGAGAAACACGGCAGTTTTTCAGCATGGCTGCCGCCTAGTATTTCTAAATATACAAGCAATTTTGTGAGTTTGCTCTCCCTAAGCACATCACTGCTGAGAATGCGAGAACTTGGAGTTAAATGAGTTTCGGGGTTCATTTGATTTGATTTGATTTAATTGAAGAACCGACATCACAGCACTCGGGGCATTCCTATAAGCGATCCGTCCCCATCTTCAGCAGCCAGCGAAGAGTTCCGATACTAATGGTGCCAGTAGCATTCTGATTAAACGTCCGTCTTGCCTTTCCTCTGAGCCTCGAGTAACTCGAGTTTCGGAGTTAAGATCTGCAAAGGCAGTTATGAGAGGCACACCGGATGTACACGAAGTCTTGTTAACCAGCATAAGACTGGCTCCCTTAGCCGTGGGACGCTGATGTATATGCTGAAGGGGGGATATGAGCAGCTATAGACGTGTACGAAGTGCCGTGAAGATAGCCCAACTCAATACCCATAGCTGCCTAACCTTTGACATTCCTATGTCTATCTGTATGGCATCGGACTTGAAACATGAGCTGTATGGTTCTCCTACCTTGACCTGTCCAACATGGGGAACCGTACCAGAAAAGAAAAGCTACCACGAGCACTGCTCTGGGCGTCATATAACACTCCAACGTCTCTACAGCTTCTCAGTTGATATTCCAATTCCAATTTGAGAAACAAAAATTCTAAACTTGATCCTTTGTCAGCCGCCTGAAGGCCTGCTATATGAAGGAAGATTCCTTGGCTATTTTATTTGGCGTCCTTTTTTATCGGTATGAAGTAACATCTGATATTCCTTTCTTTTTGTGCTTAAGTCCAGTGTGTTATTTGAGGTTCTGGGTCCTGATCTGGTCCGGCTCTCTTTAACTGCTATCCCTGTGGGTTTCTGCTGACTGTTGCTGGTGCTTGGTTAGCCCGTACTGGTCGCTGCAATGGTGTCCAATTGCCAGGCTGGGTTACCGCTCTGTTAGGCTGTGGCAAAAAGCCAAACAAACACCAGGAACCGCTGTCCCATCCAACAGTTGAGATAGCTTAGAGGAGTCGAATAAATGGTTCACACTTCTCCTTTCCGATGCTCAATGCTCGTCCACTTAGCTAAGGGTCTTACTGTGTCATCTAAAGAAACTGGGATCATTACCAGGACCTGGCCATCTTAGGACCATACAACAGGAGACACGGTCAATCACCTCAAAAGACTCTCTCTCTCTCCCGGACATAAACTGAAAATGTGTACACCTTTCACAACCAGACCACAGGAAGCACAACCAACAAGAGGAACAGGCAAAAACAAGACCTAGAAAAGGCTGCGAAATTTAGGAATGAGCAATACACGTGGATACGGACACTAAGCTATCATTCCTGGCCCAAACACACACACACACATCTCAACCAATAAACTTAGCACAAATAAACCAGACCATAAATATAACCGAAAGCTGCGCTCAGCGAAAGTTTTTCGCAAAGGGTTAAATATGGTCGACTTTTTATTATATTTCCGTATATTCTGAATCCGAATTTTTTGAAAAAGCACTTATGGAGGTAGCGGTGCGTTTTTTTTTTTTTTTTAGCCCTTAATAGAACGTTGGCAAGCTGTGTTGTGGTTTACAGCTAGGCTGTGATATTAGCACCTTTGTCCTAACACAATTTGGTTTCGGCAAACTTTCAGTTAGTCGTATTTTATTATATGCATATGAAGCACAATGGGTCTGTCTCCCCCTCCTTCCCAAATGGGATCCAGGAACCCACGCATAGATCCATGTACTACGACAGCGAACCTTAACCAAACCAAATGAGACCGATATATAGTCAGATGGTTACTGGTACCATCGGAATTGGAACTCTACGCTTGCTGCTGAAGATGGGGACGTAGCACTTATAGGAGTGTCCTGGGTGTTGTGATGTCGATTCTTGATTCAACAATCAACAATCAACCTTAACCAAATCAAATTGTATTCATTTTCAGGCAATGGTGTTATCGAATTTCATGACTTCAAAGCATACATGTCGAAAAAGCAACAACAGAGTTACCAGGACAGGACAGAGGAAATGATGGAAGCATTCAGGTGACTGACCTCTAATCTCCATGTCAACCATGTACGTGTCTGTGGCTTAGGGGTTGTGAGCACAGTCTCACAATCCCAACATACCGGGGTTTGAAGTCAACTGCTGGCGATTTGGTAGCAGATCGCATTGTCTTGACTTTGACAAAGATATTAGCGCTGTACCACTCAGAAGTCCTCATTAAACTTCTTCTTCTGCTTTCTATCGCCCCCATGGAGCATACACCATCAAATCACCAAATCACGCAAATCGTCCATTCCTTTCCTATTGTATGTAGCTCACCCTATGTCCTCCCTAACCTTTTCACTTAGTTCGTCCAGCTCCAGATTAAACAAATACTGACATCCTTTCAACGGAAATATTCAAATACAATATCAATCAAACAGACGGTTTCACTTGTGCCTTTTGAGCTGAGTCGATGTTGTCGTTATAGTAGTCATCAAATTATTAGTTGTAATCTCCCTTTTCCTCGAGTAATCTTTCCCTGCTATATGTCCATAAAGTATAAACTCTAAACCAGTGGTTTTCAAAGATGATGACGACTGCTTACTATCTTTTAAGCGGGCATGTGGGGAAATGGGAAACGGGGGGGGGGGGGGGGGGGGGGGGGGGGGGGTGTGACATATTCCTTATTTATTCTGTTTTCACGTGTGTGTTTTAAACAGACTTCATTCCACATACAAACTCTCACGTAAAATAAATGGTTTGTTTCATTCACAGAGTATTTGACAAAAACAATGACAAGTTTATAGACGCCCGTGAACTGGTATATGTCATGACACGTATCGGCGACACACTGACTAAACAAGAAGCCGAGGAAATGATCAAAGTGGCTGATGTCAATGAGGATGGGAAAATCGATTATCTAGGTAAGAATAAATAGAGCGTATTGAGAATGGTGGAGACAGGCATGCTCAGTGCAGAGTGGCAAGCATCACTTCAGAGGTCCCGGGTAGTTAGCGTTCTTTAGATATTTTCTCTAGGTTGCGCTGGTGTGTTAGGGAATGAGCAGGCAGACATACTAGCCGGTTTTGCACCACTTGGTGGTGAATTGACGTTTGACAAGCTGGATAGTGTAGGGGCCCTTAGGGAGCGATTGAACAGTGCAGAGGCACAAAAAGATCATTACGGTCTGAGGAGAATGGCACTGCGGGGAGTTACCAGGGGATCTGGTCGACGCTCAACACTCAAGGGAAGGGCGAGACGGATTTACAACCAGTTACCATCGGAATTGGAACTCTTCGCTTGCTGCTGAAGATGGGGACTGGGCGCTTATAAGAGTGTCCTGAGTGCTCTGGTGTCAATTCTTATTTCAATATTTCGCGAATAAACTGGTAAAGATAGTCCTAAACTATGAGGATACGAATAAACAAGGTTGTATCAGACTATGAGGATACGAATAAACAAGGTTGTGTCAGACTATGAAGATACGAATAAACAAGGTTGTATCAGACTATGAGGATACGAATACACAAGGTTGTGCCAGACTATGAGGATACGAATAAACAAGATTATATCAGACTATGAAAATACGAATAACCAATGTTGTATCAGACTATGAAGATACTAATAAAAAAAAGGTTGTATCAGACTATAAGGATACCAGTAAACAAGGTTGTGTCAGACTATGAGGATACGAATAAACAAGGTTGTATCAGACTATGAGGATATGAATAAACAAGGTTGTATCAGACTATGAGGATATGAATAAACAAGGTTGTGTCAGACTATGAAGATACGAATAAACAAGGTTGTATCAGACTACTAAAATACGAATAAACACGGTTGTATTAGACTATAAAGATACGAATAAACAAGGTTGTGTCATACTATGAAGATACAAATAAACTAGGTTATATCAGACTATGAAGATACAAATAAACAAGGTTGTATCAGACTATGAGGATACGAATAAACAAGGTTGTATCATACTATGAGGATACGAATAAACAAGGTTGTGTCAGACTATGAAGATACGAGTAAACAAAATTGTATCAGACTATGAAGATACGAATAAACAAGGTTGTGTCAGACTATGAAGATACGAGTAAAGAAGGTTGTATCAGACTATGAAGATACGAATAAACAAGGTTGTATCAGACGATGAAAATACGAATAAACAAGGTTGTGTCATACTATGAAGATACAAATAAACAAGGTTGTATCAGACTATGAAGATACGAATAAACAAGGTTGTATCAGACTATGAGGATACGAATAAACAAGGTTTTATCAGACTATGAGAATAGGAATAAAAAAGGTTGTGTCAGACTATGAGGATGCGAATAAACAAGATTATATCAGACTATGAAAATACGAATAAACAATGTTGTATCAGACTGTGAGGTTACGAATAAACAAGGTTGTATCAGACTATGAAGATACGAATAAACAAGATTGTATCAGACTATGAAGATACGAATAAACAAAGTTGTATCAGACTATGAGGATACGAATAAACAATGTTGTCTCATACTATAAGGATACGAATAATCAAGGTTGTAACAGACTATGAGGATACGAGTAAACAAGTTTGTATCAGACTATAAGGATAGGAATAAACAAGGTTGTATCAGACTATGAAGATACGAGTAAATAAGGTTGTATCAGACTATGAAGATACAAATAAACAAAGTTGTATCAGACTATGAAAATACAAATAAACAGGATTGTATCAGACTATGAGGATACAAATAAACAAGAATGTATCAGACTATAAGGATACGAATAAATAGGATTGTATCAGACGATGAGGATACGAATAAACAGGATTGTATCAGACTATGAGGATACGAATAAACAGGATTGTATCAGACTATGAGGATACGAATAAACAGGATTGCATTAGACTATGAGGATATGAATAAACAGGATTGTATCAGACTATAAGGATACAAATAAACAAGGTTGTGTCAGACTATGCGGATATGAGTAAACAAGGTTGTGTCAGACTATAAAGATACGAATAAACAAGGTTGTATCAGACTATAAAGATACGAATAAACAAGGTTGTATCAGACTATAAAGATACGAATAAACAAGGTTGTATCAGACTATAAAGATACGAAAAAACAAGGTTGCATCAGACTATAAAGATACGAATAAACAAGACTGTATCAGACTATAAAGATACGAATAAACAAGGTTGTGTCAGACTATAAAGATACGAATAAACAAGACTGTATCAGACTATAAAGATACGAATAAACAAGGTTGTATCAGACTATAAAGATACGAATAAACAAGGTTGTATCAGACTATAAAAATACGAATAAACAAGGTTGTATCAGACTATAAAGATACGAATAAACAAGGTTGTATCAGACTATAAAGATACGAATAAACAAGGTTGTATCAGACTATAAAGATACGAATAAACAAGGGTGTATCAGACTATAAAGATATGAATAAACAAGGTTGTATCAGACTATAAAGATACGAATAAACAAGGGTGTATCAGACTATAAAGATACGAATAAACAAGGTTGTATCAGACTATAAAGATACGAATAAACAAGACTGTATCAGACTATAAAGATACGAATAAACAAGACTGTATCAGACTATAAAGATACGAATAAACAAGGTTGTATCAGACTATAAAGATACGAATAAACAAGACTGTATCAGGCTATAAGGATACGAATAAACAAGGTGGTATCAGACTATAAAGATACGAATAAACAAGACTGTATCAGACTATAAAGATACGAATAAACAAGGTTGTATCAGACTATAAAGATACGAATAAACAAGGTTGTATCAGACTATAAAGATACAAATAAACAAGGTTGTATCAGACTATAAAGATACGAATAAACAAGACTGTATTAGAGTGTAAAGTAAAGGACCTTTTCTCTACTCCTTTAGGCATATTGGACATAACATATAGGGCTATACCTATCTTTTATAGACCAGTCCGTATGTGATGTGGTCAACATCATGTCGGCCACCTTTACTTCCCAGGACTTTGCCTTGTACCCATTATAAATTGGTTTGACCTAGGAGCATTTAAAAAACATCTCAGGCTCTATCAGAGCCTAAACTCACAACCTTCGGATGTGAAGGCGAGCGTCTAGCCGCTACACCACGTAGGCTACTGTATACTGTACCTAATCACTCCTCTTCTACCTTGAGATGTAGAGGTTAGCCAGAGAGATCGCCAGACGTCTTTATCAGCAGTTTTTTTTCTGGCTTTGTTCTATTCCAGCCTTCTATCATTTAGGGACTTTCTGATGTTGTCTTCCCAGCGAACCCTGATTATCCTGGTATTCTGGTTCTCTGGTTCTTAGCCTCCTATGGCGACCGATTGTTTCCCATTCTGCATACATGTCCAGAGCATCGTAGCTGTGACTGATGCATTAGAGATTATAAGGCCTGCATTTAAGATTAATCAAGACGTCTCTTTATGAGATGCAAGTTTTCGTTATTGGAAGCCCTTCTCTGGCTCTTTCCAGGGGCCGCAATATAGCCCCACCATAAATATGGTCTAATGACTGAACGCGGTTTCTGGGACCTCTCCACGGGTTATCCTCATCCACATGGTGGCACTTAGTGTCATCGGGTGTTTATCGCTTGTGTGATGTCCTAGTGGGGTAAAATGTAATACTACTATTACTACAGACAATGAAGGTAAGAATAAACAAGACTGTCCTAGACCAGTGGTTCTCAAACTATTTTGGCCCACCGCCCCCTTTTCAATGGAGAAAAAAAATCGCTCAGCATACGCCTCTCCCTAAAAATATCATCAGCCGATAGGGATAGACGGTTATGCTTATCCATTCTCCATGATCAGCAAAATCACGGATCAGGTCGGTGATCTTTTCCCGCCCCGTGCATTAGGCCAAACCATTACGGTATTTACCTCTTTGCTTTCTTATTGTCACTGAAGGAAAAAAATTTTTTTTTTTACTTACAATGTTAGACCAATTATTTTATAATGGTCATTTGTAGGGATGTATGTTGATACATTTGTACACTTCAAGTTTCAAAAAACATGGTTGCCATGGCAACAGCCGCCATCTTGATGAAAAAAACAACATGTACTTAGACAGCTTAAATATCAAAAACAAACAGAGGTATTGAGAAACAGATGACCGATTCATGAATTTTAAACTTATGTTTAGGGTCAGGTCTAGATTATTTACTTCAAAGATGTTTTTAAATATTTTTTTTAGAATATAAAAATTTTGGTATGTTGAAAAAAATACAAAAATGTAGCTTTTTCATTTAATAATCAAATTTAAAAAAAAAAGACTTAATAAACTGCAAATTCACATAGACCTGACCCTATAATATTTTGCTAAGAGTATCCACAACAAATTTCACGTCTCTAGTCTTTATATTAACTGAGATTTTAGGAGATCCCACACACAACAAACAGAAAAATACAATTGCTAGAAAAGTGACTAAAACTTTTTTTTATCTTAAAAAAAGTGCATGGGTTGGTGTCTTTAGTATTAACTGTTCAATGCTAAACTGTTTACCAATGACACAAATTTTGTGTGTAATCTTTTCTACGAATGCCGAACATTACAAAAATAAACACATTGAAAAAGTGATATTTTTGTCATAAATTGGAAAAAAATGGCGTGTAGAGACCCTTTAAGCTAATCTTGTCAGCTGTCCTCAAGTTCTCGAGTCTATACTTTGCTCTCAAATATATCTTCTGTAATTGAACGACTAGAGGGAAGCAGTAATACCTTTTTAATCGTCTTTCCGCCTACTTCATGGAACATACTGTGACCTGTAATTTTTATCTTCTCTCCAGTTAAATTGTATAGACTGTTTCAAAAGCGTCTTTGGCGTTTTAAGCCCTGAGGAGGATGGGGCTGCACGAGGTTCCCTGTAGCCTTCGTGAATTCATCTGTTTTCCCATTTCTA